CTATTCTATTCTATTCTATTCTATTCTATTCTATTCTATTCTATTCTATTCTATTCTATTCTATTCTATTCTATTCTATTGAGCCAAGGGGCTATATGCCTTTAAAATGCCAGCAATTGTCATGGTGCCAATGCTATATTAGGTTGATGGTACAAAAAAGGAATAGATGACCTTTTTGTTCTTTGCTCTTATATTATACACAACTCTAGTTTTTGTAGTCACTCCTACATAAAGCCATTTATTAGTGACAAGAGATGATATAGATACTATCTTTAATCAAATGCACCCAGTCAGAGATCTGGATGAGCAGAGGTGTCCTTTAATCTTTGATCCTGAAATACAATGAAACTACATAAAACAAAAAAGAAATACATATCTTTGTGGGCTAAGAAATCAGGAAATATGAGCATTATCTTGTACAACTTTTTCCTCAGGCTTTGGCAGTTGAAGACGTTCTCAAGAGGTCTGAGTCTATTCGACTTGTAGACTCCATTGAACAAGACTTTCTTGAAGGTTTCCAATTATACTCCATTACGAAATTGATTAACAACAGGACAGAACTGGAACAATTCCGTATCTTTCTTGAGGAGCAATCAGCAAGGTATTTCTCCTGTTATTGCGTGGCCCTGTTGTGAACTCCCATTTCCCTAGTAATGTCTATAATTTCTATATCTTGCTTCATTTATATGACAGTGAAATAGCAAGACTCTTCATAGCTAACATCTTTAAAGAATGAGATGTGTATGAATGCCAAGAATTCATATATACCACACTCCAAATTCCATCTTTAAAAAAATGTTTTGGCTCCAGGCACATTTTGAACCTTCATTATATTCCAGCTTCTGTTCTTGTCATTTCCATCCACTGATTAAGGATATGATATCCATATCTGAAGATATACTTTCTTCTAGTTCCGTGATGGCGAACCTATGGCTTGCGTGCCACAAGTGCCACGCGGAGCCCTCTCTGCGGGCATGCCAGCCATTGCCCCAGCCCAGTTCCACCGTGTCTGCCTTTCACCGGCCAGTTAGTCTTCGGGTCTCTGCTGTGCATGCGTGGGGGATGGGGCACATGCGGGGGACACGTGCACACATGCACAGGAGGTGCACTCACGGGGTGCTTGCATTTTGGGGTCTTGCACAACGCATCATTTTGGTTTCCAGATTGGTGCAAAAGGACGTCCAGGCTCAGAATGGGGTGCGGGGGCACTGCGCAAGGGCGGCGTGGGGTGGGGTGCATGCGTGGGGGCAGTGGGGGGGGATCGCAGGGGGGTTGCATGAACAGGGGCAGGGTGCACAGGGAGTGTCACGTGCACATTGAATTATGGGTGCGGGTGCACGTAAGCACTTTAGGCCTGGGACGACAAAAAGGTTAGCCATCACTGTTCTAGTTCATTTGTCCAGGACCAAAGAATAAAGAGGAACATAAGACAAGTTAGATTAATGGAAGAAATTTTGTAATCTCACACCTGCACCATTCAGTGCAAAGTATCTCTCTTTCAATGAGATTTTACAAGAATTCTGGAAAGGAGTCATTTAGCGTGCTACAGGTGCAAAGCCTACATAAGCCAGGAAGGTTCCTATAGCAGTCTAGATCAGTGTTTCTCAACCTTGTTTTGTTTTGAAGGCCTCTGCAATAAGACCAATCTAGCAGTAATGTTTATTAGGGTGTGGAAATTGATTCTTGCTCAGTTTGAATTCGTGTTGCAGTTAAATGTACCGATTTGATTCAATTTAAAAATTCAAACCCGTTTGGGGAAAAAAACCCAATTAAATGTAACATTTCAATGTATAGCATTGTTTTCGATTTGGTTTTCTCAACCCTTTCTCTTCAGATCTGACCCTTTGATTCCATTTTCTAAAGCAGTAGGAAAGTTGGCTCAATTTAGAGATATGCTGAAACAAATCTGTGAATCAAAGTTTCACAAAGCTGTAGCATGTGTGCAATTAAGGCACATGTCATTTTATAGATTAGATAAAGTAGTTTCCAAGCTTAACTTACTTGGGCTGAAGTAAAGAGTTTTAAAATCTGAATTCAGTTGGAATAGTAAATGGAGCATGTAAATGAGCCAATTACTTTCAAAGAAAGAAATCCCTGCTCTTTGTACTACGTAAGAATTACATCCTCTGTACAGTATGCCATGTAGAAACATAAAGGAAGGAAGACTTTTGGGTCTTATGGGCAATTGTAGTCCAGTGTACTTACTGTAGTTGTAGAGGCTACAAGCAGTCTGTTTCCATTTAAAGGTTTTGATTTTGTTATTATTTTTCCCTTGGTACTTTCTGCTTCTCGTTGGTCATAATTGCTCAAAATATATTAATTGAAACAAACTTACATACAGCCAAATTTGGGTATGTTTCTCTCCTGCTTTTCCAAGTTCTGGTTTATGGCAGTTGGTTAATTAAAATTTCCCACACAGGCAAGATTAGATTATTAGTTGTCAGTAAGGAGATAGTGCTTTTTTCTTGATCTTTCTCCCTTTTTGCATTCCAGCTCTCATTAATTGGAATTGCTTAAGATATGTTAGTTAAAAGGCACTCGGAAGAAGCAAATCTTCACGCTCCTAGACTCCTTTAAAAACACAATCTTTTCAAGTCCAAAACCAAATTTAGAGATTGTGTTTAAGTGGGTTTGTCACTTCTTTTCTTTCTTCTTTTTTCCAAATTATTTCAAGCAAATGGCTCTCTTTGGGGCTAGTGATTTAACCCTCCATTTTTTCGTTTCTTTCTTTTCGCAAAAATCCCGATCTATCCATCAATATTATTTATGCTCTCATGTTTCTCTGCCTTTTCCAAATTCTGATTTATAACTGTGGGTTAATAGATCTTACCAATAGATCTCACCGCTGCACACTCCTCTTCAGCTGCTTTGGCCTGGAGCCAGCTTCTTGTGCAGCCATGTTGCCATGCTGCCGCAATGGCTCTGATTCAGAGGGCAAATCTCTGACTTACGAGGGACCTGTTGCACTCCCTCTGGGTCTGATGAGACACTTCCCCTTCTTCAACCCCCAAAGGGGGGTTCTGATCCAAAAATGGATCTTGGAGACAGTTTGTCAGACAGGGTTCATGTGAGACTCTTCAGAGCTCACATCCCCCACGTCTGTCCAGCTGGAGAATTTCAGGTCGACTCCAGTTTCCATTTAAAGGTAAAGGTTCCCCTTGCACATATGTGCTAGTTGTTCCCAACTCTAGGGGGCAGTGCTCATCTCAGTTTCAAAGCCGAAGAGCCAGCGTTGTCCGAAGACATCGTCATGGTCATGTGGCCGGCATGACTAGATGCTAAAGGTGCACAGAACGCTGTTACCTTCCCACCAAAGATGGACCCTATTTTTCTACTTGCATTTTTACGTGCTTTCGAACTGCTAGGTTGGCAGAAGCTGGGACAAGTAAGAGAGCACACCCCATTACACGGCACTAGGCATTTGACCCGCTGAACTGCCAATCTTTCTAATCAAGAAGCTCAGCATCTTAGCCACTGAGCCACCACGTCCCTTTCAATTTAGTTTCCATTTAGGAAGCTATTAATATATCCTTCTCTAACGTGGCACCTTCAAGATGTATTTGGCCATGCAAGTTAGGAAATTCTTGGATCTGGAATACAATACATGAAGATTACAAGGTGGAAAGGTTGCTTTAATAAGACAACAGCTATTAAACAATATCAAAAGTTTTGTTAATTGCCATGGTAATAATTTTACATTTGTTGTTGCAATTAAATCAGTATCAACTCCATTACTTTTATTGCCCACAATATACAAGTGATTTGCTATTGGCTTCTTGCAGGACATTTTGCAATCCCCCAGTCTAACTTATAGTCCTCCTGGGTTTTCCTCATGGTCATCCATCCAAGAATCAGCTACTCTTTTCCTACATTTTTATGAGTTCAGCAAAAATCAGGAAAATGCTGTCCCTGTTGTTTTTTATTCTCCTATAATTCCACTCCCTCAATAGGTGGCAACAAACCAGCCTGTGGCAGACCTTACAGAGGTTTGGAAGCTAAAGGGGAATCCCTGGTTAAATAGTTGGATCAGAGAGTTGAAAATTGCCCCTGTAGAATGACAAATTCTTCCACATTATTGCCAAGGATACATAAATACAACCATAGTCAGTAGAGGTCAACTTGTGTTTTATTTTTTATTTTATTTATTTATTAGCTTGGTATGTCCGCCTTCCTCTAAGAATTCCAGGTAGCTTACATGGGGATTTCCTTTCATTTTATATAATACCATAAATCTGAATAAGTGGACAAGTTCATAGAAGCTGCTGACATCATCAGTGATCTATTCTATTAGAGAGCTTGTGGAGATTGCCAATTCACCTTTGTCAATCTTCATGGCTCCTGTAAGTATGTGGAAGAATTGCTTGCTCGGAGTGGCAAAGTGCCTGCTGCATACAACAATTGTTGTTGTTAATTGCGAAGTCGTGTCCGATCCATTGCGACCTCATGGAAGGTCTTCAGGTCTTCCTGTCCTCTACCATCCTCTGGAGTCCATTTAAGCTCATGCCTACTGCTTCCGTGACTCCATCCAGCCACCTCATTTTCCATCGTCCCCTTTTTCTTTTGCCCTCAATCTTTCCCAGCATTAGGCTCTTCTCCAGGGAGTCCTTCCTTCTCATTAGGTGGCCAAAGTATTTGAGTTTCATCTTCAGGATCTGGCCTTCTAAAGAGCAGCCAGGGTTGATCTCCTATAGGACTGACCAGTTTGATTGACTTGCAGTCCAAGGGACTCTCGGGAGTCTTCTCCAGCACCATAGTTCAAAGGCCTCAATTCTTTGGCACTCAGCCTTTCTTATGGTCCAACTTTCACAGCCCTACATTGCAACTGGAAAAACCATAGCCTTGACTATACGCACTTTTGTTGGCAGGGTGATGCCTCTGCTTTTTAGTATGCTGTCTAGATTGGCCATAGCTTTCCTCCCCAGGAGCAAGAGTATACAACAATTACTCAATGCCATTCTATCCATGTTAATTTAGATTATAGAATTTCATTTGGATGTATGCCTGAAGAATTATGAATAAGGATATAACCCCACTTAGGAGCATGGTGATTTCAGGGGATGGGATAATTTAAGGTAAGGATAAGAACCATTCATTTGCTTGAGGCGTCCTGTACTGTTTCATCCTAAAACAGTAAAAAAAAAGGGGGGGGGATGGAATCTGCCCTTTCTGGTTATGTCAGTAGATGTAGATGGTGACCATCTTCTCCAATCTTGCCCATCCTTGGCGTGAAGCAATATTGATGATGCTGTGACAAAAACATATTGTTTATTTTGTAGTGTGGACCTCCTGTGCTGGATAGACATTGAGCAGTTCAGAAGAATGTTACACAAAAATAAAGAAGAACGAGATGAAAAATCTAAGGACATTAAAAATAAATATCTAAACAAGAAATATTTCTTTGGACCGGACAGCCCAGCCACAAAAGAAGAACAAGAGCAGGTAACTGGCTGCATTTTAAATGTTAGCAGAAGTTGGTGCTGGTGCTGTTAGTTCTCACAACTTATGTTTGCCGAGTTGTGTGCTTAGTACTAAGCTATATTTTTCCTGTTGGCCAATATGCATTGTGTTTTCATTTGATCTGATGCCCTTTAAATAATACCAAGCTTCTATGTAGATTCTCTTCTATTTCAAAATGCAGCTGCACAGAAGCAGGGAATAACACTCTTACAGATTAAGTAGATTGCAAAGGAACATATTGTTCCATATAAATGAACGTTTCCCTAAAGGTAAAAGTTCCCCTTTCAGATATGTGCTAGTCCTTCCTGATTCTAGGGGGCGATGTTCATCCCTGTTTTAAAGCCGAAGAGCCAGCGCTGTCCAGAGACATCTCTGTGGTCATAGGGCCTGTTTCCTTAGGGTAAAACTACCATAATTTGGGCTGCAAAATCCAGATGACCACTCGATGGCAGCAGAATGAATATTTGACGATAATAGCAATTTTAGCTATTGTGTCATCAAGTTGTTGACTCATAGGAACCATGTAGATCAATTTTATGTGACAATCTGTCCCTAACTGGGTCTTTCAGGTCTACCCATCAGCACTGTAAATGAGCCCATCCACCTTGCTACTGGTCACCCCTTTCCTTTCACCTTTCCCAGCATTACAGTCTTCCCCAAAGAGTTAGATCTTTATATAATGTATCCAAAATAGGATAATCTGAGCCTGTCATGATATGGTAGCTCATCTTAAGACTTAAAATGTATACAATGGCTAATGTGTCCCAAAGGTGCTTTTTCCAAAAGGCAACTGGACTTTCTTGGGGGAGAAGGGTTGAAAATGTTTCACTTTTTCTCATCCAAGAAGCTTCTTCAGTTCTGAAGAAGAACTGAATTAAACTGAAGAAGCTTCCTGGATGAGAAGTGAAACATTAAAAAAAAACACCAAGTAAGTCCAGTTGCCTTTTGGAAAAAGCACTTTTGGAGCAATGATGGCTTGGATAATTGAGAATCTGGGTAGATACTGGCTATAGTGGACTTCTCAGAAGCCTTCTTAGAAGATCAATAATGTTGAACAGGTTTCTTCAGTAGATAGCATGGTCCCTATTTTCAATAAATAATTAAGATAAAACACTGGGCCCTATCTAACAAAATGAAATTCAATGTTGAGAAAAGTAAAGTTCTACTCTTAGGTAAGAAAAACCAAAAGTACCCATATAAACTGGGTGAAACCAGGCTTAATAGCAGTGACTGTGAGAGGGATCTTGGAGTCTTAGTAGACAACCAGCTAAATATGAGACAGTAGTGTGCAGCAGCAGCCCAAAAAGCCAATGCAATCCTAAATTGCATTAACAGAGGGATACAATCAAGATCAAGTGAGGTACTAATACCACTCTATGAACCTAGAAATAAGGAGGAACTTTCTGACAATCAACCAATGGAACAGCTTGCCCTCGGAAGTTGTGGAGGCTTTCAAGAAGAGATTGGACTGCCATTTGTCAAAGATAGTGTAGGGTCTCCTGCTTGAGCATGGGGTTAGACTAGATGATCTATAAGGTCCCTTCCAACTCTGTTAATCTGTTTAATCTATTTCATTTAATGGACTTCTATGGGAATGTTGGAAGCATATTTAAATGTGTTTCCTGCAACAGTGATTATCCCATATGAACTGATAACTCACTTATACTTGTAGAGGAATATGTGTTAAGGCAGATAAAAATAACGAGAAAAATGATTACACATTACTTTAAAATATTAGATATTTAGATGAATATTAGAAAATCAAAGATATAAGCTGAGTTTTTTTGCAGCCAAGAGATTAAAATGTTTAGCAAATGAATATACACATAATTGCCAATGTTATAAACATGAATATGCATATAAGACATATGTTATGCAATTTAATATTTAAAAGAATATTAAAAAATTTCCTTCATGGGGGTGGGGCTCAGGATCTGGTAGTTCTCCCTCTGCCATGGTTTAGTAGTGACTGAACAGGCAAAGAACTTTTCACTCTGAAATTATAAAAGGGTGTGTTGGCCCTTGATTACTCTAAAGTTCTCCTTTCGTTACAGGTGCATTCAAAATATATTCGGTTATATTGTATGTTGAGAAATGTTTCATTCTTGGCAAAAAATAAAACAGTGCCTCAAATTGCTGAATGATTCTAAAATTAGAGAATTTCACCCCTATTTTAAGATTGCTGAAATTAACCCCCTGCCTAGGCAGGAAACCCTATACCGTTCCAGACAAATGTCTATCCAACATCTTCTTAAAGACTTCCAGTGTTGGGGCATTCACAACTTCTGGAGACAAGCTGTTCCACTGA